AACAGCCTCGAAACAGCACAGAGCAGGTGAGGGGGGTTGCGCGCTGCTGAGGGCTAGAAGATCACAACCACATGGAAGGTGCTAAAGCAGTGTTTTTCAAACTTGGTGACTTTAAGAGGGGTGGACTGCAACTCCCAGAATTCCCCAGCCAGCATGCTTTAAGATGAGTGGACTACAACTCCCAGATTTCCCCAGCCGGCGTGCTTTAAGATGGGTGGACTTCAACTCCCAAAATTGCTGGCTGGGGCATTCTGGGAGTTGAAGTCCACCCATCTTAAAGTCGCCAAGTTTGAAAAACACTGTGCTAAAGAAATTGCTTGGGAATGATTCGGCAGGTTCTTCCTCCCCAAAATTACCTCCAGCCGGAGGACACAAAGCTTATTATCACCGAAAGCAGCTTTTGCCAGCAACTTCTATCTGGACCGTGTGAGGTTAGGTCTAAAGATCCTTTCCCCACATAAGATCCATTCGTTATAAGAGGGATCCGGTCGGAGAGACTCCTTCTCAGATCGAAATCAAAACTCACAAATCGGGGCCTCACGCATGTTCTGGAAGGAACTCCCAAAAAAGGAACCGAATCAATTAATGGATTTAGATTAAGAAACTGATCAGCATGATCAGAGTGCCTCCCATCATCCCCAACCGCCTCTAAAAACAGTCCCCAAGGGGATGATGCCCTCACGGCCCCCTTGCAGCTGGAGCCCTGACAACGCTATGGGTGGGAGTTTCTCAAAGATACCATCCCAGCAAAGCCAGTTTAAGGACTAGAGCCTTGAAGTGCATTTTAAAAAATATGAGACCTGCCTGGGAGTTTGGCTACGTAAAGTGGGGCAAAAGCAGCCTTGAATCCTACAGATCGTCCTCGCTTAGTGACCACAATTGGGACTGGCAAGTCGGTTGTTTAGCAAAGCAGTTGCTAAGTGAAACATCACAATTTTACGATCTTATTTCAGCTTTCCTTTGCTTTACAGACCTTCAAAGGTCATCAATGCGAGGACTGCTTGTAAAGTTACTTTTTCATCACCGTCGTTACTGCGAACGGTCACTAAACGAGGCGTTCCCCAAACAAGAGAGTTGTCGTCTCTCTCAGTCTGCATTAATGGCTACCGAACGCCTTTGGCTTCTCTAATCTGCATTTATCTCCACGTTTCCAGCAGACTGTCCTGGAAAGGCGGCTCTCCGAAGTCCAGCAGAGGTTGGAGTATCACGAGGCTGAAACTCGCACGGCCCGGCAGGAGATGGAGGAACGGCGGGAACGCTACGAGAGCCTCTGGCGGGATCACGACCGCTTGCTGCTGCTACACCGACAGCAGGGGGACGACCTGGAGAAGGCGCTGGGGGAGCACGCCAGCCTCAAGGCAGCGCTGCGTGGCCTGGAAAAGGAGCAGCGGGAACTGGAGGGCAGGTGCCGCTGAAGCAGGGGGATTGTGGGAAATCACGGGAGACCCGCGCGAATGGTGCACTTGTCCACCATTGGACAATGCTGCTCTGCCGTTTCGGTTCTGGACGGGGGATGGGGGCAGCCAAAGCAGCGTACGAGCCGAATCGTGGCACAAGGAGGGCACGCTGCCCCACTTTGCCACCCACGTTCCCCTCAAGGCGGAACACCGGCTATTCCTTCGTCTATTAAACATACCTCGACAATCAAAAGATTCTCGACGGCTTGCGGAGAAAAACTAATGTCCTTTAAAGCATCCTCAGAATGGTGGTCAGATCTGAAACCCATATAAATAGCAACAATAAAGCAGCACGGCAGATCCGCCGTAACCATAACAATAAAGACAAAACTAGAGACGCCAGCCTCATGTCAAAGGAAAGCTCTCCGAAATAGCTGCGTTTGGAAGAGTTTTCGGAAAAAAATGTAAAACGCGTCCTTTCCAGGCCATTATCCTCCGACACTTGAAATGTTCGTTTCAGTCTTCAGTCCTCCACGGTTCCCTTGACCCTGCTCCTCTCTCTCTGCTCCACCTAAGATTGTGTGAAGCTTCTTTTCAATTCAAAATCAGTCACATGAAAAACAGGCTACTTCCCGGAAGACTTTGTCGTTCTTAGAAAATAAAAATGGGTCAGGGTTGCAGGTCTGGCGTGCTGTGGAAGTGTGCCCATGTGTTCACCTGCCCAAAGAAGAAATCACTATTGTTATTCCTTAATACTGCAATAATAATAATAATAATAAATAATATCTTAATAATAATGTAGACACTACCTTCATAATTTTTAGGTACTTGGTTAGGACTTGAATTATTAAGTTTTCACCAGTCTTTGACTGTGAATCTGTCAGGCCTAGCCCAAGGAACTCCAAGAGACAATGCCAATTCAGTCCAGCTATGT